TACAAATATTCAGATTAATGATATGCTGTTTTTACTAATATGAGCTGCTTTCTTAAAATTTGGGTTTCTTATCAAACATTCATTGAAGTTATTTGTTAACGAATGACATTGAAGATATTTTTTGGCCATTCTGTAACAAAGCTTTTTAAAAATTCAAAATTTGATGGATGGTCGATAGGAAACTCAACTCTGGTGAAAATTACTTCATATTATTTTATTCATTTCATTGATTTTTTGTAGATTTTTAAAATCAAATGTCTGAAATATTCCTTATTCAAAATTTAAAATTCTCTGGAAGTGTCATTCTGTAACGCTTTGATATTACCAGAGCATACAGTGCATGCACATCGTACCCACTGGCCTGTTTTTAGTGTACGCAATTTGATTGTGTGTACGTAGCTGTGTGAGCCCGCTCTGTTCCCACTGCACAGTTTGCACATTGCGCACAATTGGGGCCGCGCACCGCATTGGGCACCCACAGTTTTGTGTCACAAATGAATTATACAATGCAATCTTTACACTGTATCTTGAACCCGTTTTATGAACTCCAATGTAGATATGTTCTTTTTATTTTTTTTCCTTCTCTTTTTTAAAATGAAGATAATAGCAATGTAATCTTGGATAAGTAATATAGGAAATGGCAACATGTTTTAATGAGAATTTTTTGGAGCTCTCCGAGACACATCTGTTTTCCTGTAAATAGCCATCTATTATCAATGTGCTCAATGAATTAAACCATTTCTGCCATCAAAAAAAAAAAATTAAGTGTGAAGGAAATACTTTATTGATTTGTATATGTGGTAATGTTACTGGTAATGATGATGGTGATGGTGGTGGTGGTGATGATAATTTTAAGATGGTGGTGATTTTGATGATGATGACCGTGTTGATGATGATAAGATGATGATAATGGTGATGATCGTGTTGATGATGACAGTGGTGATGACGATCATGATCATGATGATGGTGATGGTGATGATGACAGTGGTGATGAAGATGGTGATGGTGATGATCGTGGCGATGATGATAGGATGATGATGATAATGGTGATGATGACGATCATGATGATGGTGATGATGATGGTGGTGGTGGTGATCATGGTGATGATGGTGATGATTGTGTTGATGATAAGATGGTGGTGATGATGATGACAGTAGTGGTGATGATGATGACAGTGGTGGTGATGATGATGATGGTGGTGATGATGATGGTGGTAGTGATGATGATGATGACAGTGGTGGTGATGATGATGGTGGTGATGATGATGATGACAGTGGTGGTGATGATGATGGTGGTGATGATGGTGATGATGATTATGATGGTGATGATAATGATGAAGACAATGGTGATGATGATGGTGGTGATGGTGGTGATGATGATTATGATGGTGATGATAATGATGAAGACAATGGTGATGATGATGAGGGCGATGGGAGAAAGAGAGAGAGAGAGAGAGAGAGAGAGAGAGAGAGAGACGAACACACATAGTGTTGTACACACAGACAAGCAGAACTTGCACCAAACTATAATGTATTTGGCACAAGAGGGCGGCATAGTGCTACTTCAAACTGTGATTGCGAAAGGCAAAAAACATGTACGGGTATCTTACTTTTCATGATGATGATGATGATGAGGGCGATGGGAGAGAGAGAGAGAGAGAGATAGAGAAAACACATACACACATACACCCAGGCGGGCAGAACTTACACCAAACTATAATGTATGTGGCACAAGAGGGCGGCATAGTGCTACTTCAAACTGATTGCGAAAGGCAAAATACATGTACGGGTATCTTACTTTTCATGATGATGATGATGATGATGAGGGCGATGGGAGAGAGAGAGAGAGAGAGGGGGGGGGGGGGGGGGGGGGGGGGGGGGGGGGGGGGGGAGAGAAACACATACACACATACACCCAGGCAAGCAGAACTGACACCAAACTATAATGTATTTGGCACAAGAGGGCGGCATAGTGCTACTACAACTAGTGTCCCTTTATAGATAGGGACACTAACTACAACCAGTGCCGTATATGGCACTGACTACAACCTGTGATGCGAAAGGCTAAATACATTACGGGTATCCTATTTTTACTCTAAATTACAATTCTTTGGAATTTTATAACCAATCAACAGCCATGTTCACTTTTCAGCACATTAAACAAAAACTGAACTATGTTCCCTCCACTTAATATCCTTGGTGAGGGCCTGCGAATGAACAGAAATTAAAGTAGTTAAAATTAAATTAAAAACCTGATTATAGGAAAAATCATAATACCAGTTAAGTAATTTAAAGAAAAGGCAAGGAATTTTTACATCCCACATTAAGATGTTTCATACTTTACAATAATAATGATGATAGGTCCATTTATACACCGGTAGCGCAGCTACTATATGAATATACTCTACTACGCCTAATGTAAAGTATATATTGGTATCTTTCTTGCTCCCTCGACGAGATGACTCCACCCAACAACCCCCTCCCTCCCCCTCTCATACTCCCACCCCCTCTGTCATGCTTCTACCCCCTCTCTCTCTCCTCTTTGATCTCTCCATTTCTTTTCCCCTTTTTCTTGCCTCTTCTTTCTCTTTCTTTCTTCTCTTCTTTTTCCTTTCCTTTTCTTTTTTTTTCCTTTCCTTTTTCTTTCTCTCTCTTCCTTCCTTCCCCCCTTTTCTCATTTTCCCCGACGACAGCGCAATGTTACCGATAATATCCTGATATGTGGAGGGGGTGCGACACCTCCCACATTTCAGGATATAGTCGGTAAAATTGCTCTCTTCTTTTTCTTTAACGGTAAACTACAAAGCCCTGATTTGAAGTTGACATAATTATAAATTACTTGTTCACATACAATGTGTCTTTACTGAGAGCATGAACAAAGCGCCATTCTCATTTGTTCTTGTTTTGCCCTCGGAAATTTGAAAATTGCACACCTCCCCCCCCCCCCCCCCCTCCCCCCCCCCTCCCCCCTTGAGTACCAGGGGAGGGGGCTCGTCTCCAAATAAAGGTAAAATTAAAAAGTTTGTTTACCCCCTCTAGCTGCCCGTTTAGGGCAGGATATTAACGCTGATCATACCTCATGAGAAATTGTTGTTTAACTTTTTTTTGTCATGCTTTCTGCATTCCTATATTAAAGAACAAATTAGAATGGCGCTTTGTTCATTGCTCTCAGTAAAGACACTTTGTATGTGAACAAGTAATTTATAATCATGTCAACTTAAAATTAGGACTTTGTAGTTTACCGTTAAACAAAAAGGAAAGAGCAATTTTACCGATAATATCCGATATGTGTGCATGCTCAAACTCCAGCCAGCCCCTTCTCACTCTTTTCTCTCTCTCTCTCCCTTTATATCCCTTCTTTAGCTCTCTCTTCCATACTCTCTCTCTCTCTCTCTCTCCTTATTTCTCTCTCCTGTTACCCTCACTAATACATTCACAAACTAAAAAAAAATCTCTCTTAATTGCAAATGCTCTTCTCTCTTACATTTATTTACATTAATGTGTAGATCCCTCCCCTCCCCATCCCCTTCAAACATGCATTATCTGCCACTAGCTAATGTTCTAGCTATTAAAGGCCAGGGGAAAATCTAAGCCCTATCCCTTTGGTGTTAAATACATGCCTGTACCCGTTGATGACAATGAGTTAAATTATGACTGTATAATAGTTACCAGTATACCCTCCCCGCACCTTGAATTAACTTTAAAAAACACTTTTACACATGAGAGAGATATCAATGACAGACGTATATTAACATTATTTATTAAGCCTTTTTTTGGTGACAATTCTGTGATTCTTTTGCATGTAAAATTGTATTAAGCTGATGAGCGATCTAGTAGAGAAATATAAGCGAGTTCATAATTAGGATTTGCGCATGGGCAGATCAAGGTCATTCGGACCCAAATTGTAAAACCATTGAGACGAATACTCGAATCGTGCTCATGAAAGTTATGTAATCAGTATTCATTTATGCACCAACAGTACATTTATCTGATACACAGGTGGAAGTATTCTTCTCAAGAGGCAAACAAAGGGTATTCATGAAGCACCTCCATCACTTTGGCAGTGATTATTCTAAAATGCACAGGTGGGAAGTATCCATCGTGTCTAAGATCTGTGGATATTTTGGGGTCATTGAGGAGGACAAAGAATAGTAGTAATAACTTATTATGTATATGAGATGAAATCTAAAGTTATGTCAGCTTAACTTATTGGATCATTTTCAGAGTATCATGTTAATAAATTCCCCCACCATTATAATATACATTATAATATACATGATAACATTTGCATTTGACTTACAATAATGTGAAATATAACATTAAGGATCAACTAGATTTATCAAGTGCTATACAACAAAACACGCATAGGCAAATTAAGAATACACAAAGACTTGCTTGATTTGGTTTGCCAACTTAGCCCATATGGTATTTTGCATAAAGGCACGCATTCATACTGTACATTCGAGTAATGTTTACATCCTTTAATTTGTTGAGCATAATATACAAAGCATTAACGATAATGTAACAAGCGTCTATTCAGTATGTATTATTAACAAACTAAGGCATTAAGAAAGTTCATTGCATACCGGTAGTCTCTATTTGCATTCTCAGTGTGGTGTATGACCACATCTTTGTACGGGCAATCGATTTGTTTTACTGCTCATGAGACCAGGGGCGGATCCAGCCGGCGGCAGGGGAGGGGGCCAAAGAGGGGGCCCAATTTGTGACAAAAATATTTAGTGGCGAAACAGCCAGCCGGTGATTAAGCAAGGGGGGCACTCGTTTATTTTTTGCCCTTACAAATTTTGAAAATTTGCAACCCCTCCCCTTGAGGCCCAGGGGAGGGGGCCCGTCACCAAATAAAGGTAAAATTAACATGTTTTTACCTGGTTTTTTCCCCCCTCCCTGGATCCGCAACTGCATGAGATAACTTGTTGTGTATAAATGTTTTGCCGTATTGACATAGACCTACGTCTACCATGTGTACATCAAGTTCTTTTCTTTTAATTTTTCATATTTTCCCATTTTACATAACTATTTTATTCTAAATATCTTGGGAACTGAATAAAAATTCAGTTGAAACATAAATAAGATCTTGGTTACCCCCCCCCCCCCCAACACAAAGACTTAGGATTAAATACACAAAATATAATAAGATAACATAAGAAATAACCACAATCAACATTACACAAAAGCATTATTAACTTTAACACCAAATGTATCTTAGGAATACATGTAACAAATAATATACAGCAATGCAATGTCATAATGGAAGGGTATCTGAAACCCTTTCACCACAGTATACAAGGTTTTATGGGAATGTTCTTAGAGGAATCTGTTACATCGTAACGTTAACTTTTTCCTTGTTTGTTGTTGTTGTTTTCATATAAATTTCAAATATCATAGATAGTTGAAATTGCAACTATCTGGAAAAATAGGGACCTGATTGTATTTTACATGAGCAAACATGCTGTACACTGTTCATTATGCATTTAATTATTTCGTTATTCTTAAATGTTATCATATACCTGTTAAGCTATTTCAAAATGACTGTCATAATTAGTCATACCATCACCAGTATGAATATCTTCCGGGGACACGTCTTTAGAAGTCACTTCAGAAGCCTCTAGTTCTCTGTAGTGCGCTCCCTCCAGTGATTGGTCAGGATGTTGAATTTTACTTCAATCGGTCAAGTCCTCCCGGTTCTTGGAAGTCATGTCTCCTGTATGAAAAGAGTACATATTAAGCAAATATTAATCGACTACGAGGGTGATGGTACAAACTATCACCGAGGCGATGATAGATTGTATCCATTGCCCGAGTAAAGGAGGTTAATATTTGTTTTATATCCCACATCGGCAATAGGTCTATTTAGGTGAATTTTACATAATTAAAAGAACTGATTCTGCAGACAGTCTAGCTTCAGCTGGATTTTACAAAGCACAACACGCATACAGTCATGTAATACGGTCGATGCGTGCTCATTTGACATTGTCATTTCGCGTAACCTACTTTGTTACGTTTATTCAATGGGCAAGTGGGGCAGCAGCAAAAGATTACTGTACAAAAGTCCTATCGCAGGGAGATAGTACTTATCTATCATTAATCATGTGACCTCGTTTAGACCAATCAGATGGCAAGATTCTTAGTATGCGGGATATAATCTATTTTATCTGCATTACATCACCTCAATTTTTCTATCAATAGTTTGAAAGTGGAAAACAGACTTGCTTTATAAAATACTATAGATCACACTCTAAACAAATCATGCACATGTACCGTATTGTCCAGAAAATATAACAGCAAATAGCGTGTTAAAGTGGTGGTCTTTATTACGGGAATCATATTCTTCTTAACCCTTACTGTACTGGGCTATTTTGAGCACCTCCCTGACTGGGGGGGGGGGGGGCAATGATATCGGCCATTGAATGTCCGATGAACTAAAAAATTTGCTTTTTTTGTAGATATTCACGTAGGGGACGAGATGGTATAATTAGTTTTGTCCTATTATGAAAATTGTTGTTGTTAAAGCCTAATTAATTATGCAAAATGCTAGTTTTATGCATTTTACAGAAAACTCCACATATTTGTCCCTAGAATTGTGAACAGTCTTCAAAAATGTACTGAATAAATGTTTCCTTCATTTCAAATTCATGGAGATTCATTATTTGTATATTTGAAAATGCAAAGGTTAATTTGCATAAATTATGAATACGCAAATTACATCACTATATATCCTTATGTTTTTTATTGTTTGTATATCTTGTTTTACTGTTTTATTTCTAATGTATTCTTTTGTTCTAGAATACATCAAGTTACTTTGAGAAACATAAACATATTTCCCACTTATGAAGAAATACAACCTGTATTCACATTTCTGCTTGTACATGAAGATGCAATTTAAGCACTTGTTGATGACATGCACATACTAATTGTTATATAACACCTTACAGGTTCATGTGATTTTGAACAAAATTGTATTAAAATGTGCGTAAGACATAGACGTAGGGCAAAAATCATGAAAGAACAATTTAGTCATGAAACAGATATTAAGTACATGTATTTCCAAACTTGGGGTTGGGAGCAATAGAACATATTGGACTTGAAAAGCTTCATATTATAAAGTATATCTGAAAAGTAGCCAATGATGGGATGGGAGTTATATTGTACAATGTAAAATAAAAAAAGAGTTGAAAAGAAAAATGATGTTGGACAAAAAAGTCTTACCACCCTGAACTTGTTTTACCGGAGCCATCCCGGGAATGGAACTCTACATCTGTTTAAGGTGTACCTGCTTACTGCTCCTGCTCTGCAGATCGTATCTCACTTTCTAGTCGACGCTGGGTTCTCTGCTTCCAGTTCTCCAGAGCCTTATCGTTCCCCTCAGGACTTGCTAAGAATTCTTGAAATTCCTGTTCAAGCTCCTTAATTTGTTGTTGCAGTGACCTCTTTTCCAGATTTGCTTCTTCCAAATCTTTCTTGGTCTTCTCAAGAAGCGACTCACATCTTGGATCCGTGGATGTCTTCTTTAGATCTTTAGCTGCTAACATTCTGTCAGCTTCTGGGAGGCATTTATGTAGAAGGCGAAGCCACTCAAGCTTATCCACATCTGAGCGAGTTTTACTAGGCCAAGGTACTACGTAGTGATCAGTCATCCCGCTCCCCTTTAAGGTCTCTATGGCTTTATCCATAAACATGGGGTCATCATTTTTAAGTATGGCACAGACAGGGAAGCGACCTATCCAATCGAAACATATTCAATGGGTTTTATCAAAATAACGTCCAAAGTCATGATAAGTGGATGACTAATATACCACACATACGTCACCTAATATTTATTTTGTTTAGAGGGGTGGGGTTTGTAATTTGACACATCAAAGTGGAGAGAACCTGTAATGCCTCATTCATTTCTGTTTGTGTTTTCCAATATTCTCATTGACTTTAATTGTGTGGCATAAAATATACTGCCACATTCAAGTTGTATTAAAATAGAATTGTAATAATCGCATAAGAGAAGAAGGGAAGGAGAGATGGAGATAGAGATAGAGAGAGAGAGAGAGAGAGGGGGAGGGGGGGGGGGGTGAGTTGATAAAGAAGGGAGACTGCAGAAGAGACCGGAATAATGAGTAAACGTGAAGAGTCGGGAGATAGTACTAGTAATACATTTACAACGAAGACAATGAAAATAACCTTTAATATCTTTGGTAGGGCAAAAATGAGTTGGGGCAATCATGATAAAATAAGCGTGTTTAATAGTCCACGATAGCAAATAACACAAATCACATATAGGTACCAAGGTAAACAAAATTTACCAGCTGATATACAAAAGTTTTATGCATGAAAGAAACCTGGCTCGTAATGTTATTCATTTATTCATGTATCACTCTCTTAATCTATTCTTTCTTTTAATCCTGAATTCGGTGGTGTACATCACCGCAGCCATTGTAATTTACATGTATATGGTGTGTTTTAACAGTACAATTGTTTGTTTATTCAAAATTGTTAAAAACGAAAAACCTTCATATGTATTCAGTTTATTGTCCTACCTACCTTTAAGGATTAAGGGCAAACTCACCTGTAATCTCCATTATCTTCTTGCTCTCTTCTACGGTAACTTGAATATCCAAAGTGCTGAAGATAGAAATGAGAAAACACACAGATTCAGAATCATTATTATTCATGTGGTGATGATTGAAGGGTTAATGGTAACAATACAATTCAATTCTCAACCCGCCCCTGCCAAAGGCCACCTCAAAAACAAAAAAAAACAAAAAATTGGACGTACATGTATTTTGTTTGCACTACAACAATTATAATAATTTTACCGGGCATGGTGGCTCAATGGTTAGAGCGTCCGCCTCATGAACGGGAGGTCGTGGGTTCGATCCCCGGCCGAGACCTACCAAAGACTTATAACAATGGAACCTTCTGCCTTCTAGCTAGGCGCTCAGCATATTAGATTGGAGAAGGGTAATAGTAACATGTTATGTTATGCAGGGCCCGCTGGGAGAGCAGTTTTATAAATGAAGTGGCTACCCTGGGTAAATAAAACGTTATTACCAGTATATATTAATCATCGTTCTTAGTGTTCTAACATGCAAACTTTCTGCATATCAACATGAACATTTTCTGGCTCTAACTACTGATGCTGGTAGATGCTCAATCACATCATAATTTTGAAGTACCGGTAGGCTGTGATTTTTCTGTGTGTGTAAATGTAGACTTGATTAAAATTGATTACATTGCCGTAGAAGCATGTGAGGTTTTTTTTTTGGTGCTCGGTTGCTACGCTCACTCGCCTAGTAACAAACTTACTTTAAAGTAATACGATCCTAAATACTGTAGAGAAAGTCCCCTTAATAACATGATCAATCTTACATGTATGTCTACATGGAGATTCTGAATATTCTATCCTTGGCCTGTGCGTTTAAATTTGCTCAAAAAAAGGGTGATTTAAAACCTTTTAAGTCCTATTAGGCCTGTGGATGTTATTGAGTGCTCCTTTTCTACTTTCCACCTTTACCCTACCCTTCTACTTTATCATGTGGGTTAAGGAATGCATAAAGGACGGCAAAGTGTGTTTCTTTTATCAAAAATATTAAAAAAGTTGCTCTAGGGAAATATTGTTAGTTAGTTTTCCTTGTTTAGGTTGGGGTTTGGGCAGAGCTGTCAACCTCCAGCCCAGAAAATCAGTAATCATAAGGCCCAAAATCAGTACTTTGGGGAATAAATCAGGGCTTTTCTCGAAAGAGTGCGTCCACTTGTCTTTCATATCAGTTGTTTTAAAAGTTTATGGAATAGAAATGTCGTTTTATATAATCAAATTGAAACTACTTTTTACGCAGTCTAGCAGATCAGGCGTTTATAAGAATTAAATCAGTAAATTAAAAGTAACACAATGAAATAATTAACTTAAATATTTTAAGAACGTCGAATATAGGTGTTTAGCTAGTCTTGCATATCAGTTGTTTATTTATTGAAATAAAAAATAATATCCATTTCTTTTTTTGTATTATCTTGCATAACTGTCGTTAAATTACAAATAAAAATTAATTGCCATTTTACTTAATCAGACACACGTTTATGTATTTGTTAAGTCTTGCTGAAAAACTGAAGGGGTGCACATGCTTTTTCATGTTTTTTTAAAAAACATTTTGCCAAAACAAATTGAAATTATCTTTTAATGTCTATACCATCTGAAAATGTATTCACCAGCACATATGCCATCTATAATGGTTGTTATCACATCCACACAAATTTAAATTTAAGGAAAGTCACATTCTTTTACATAGTCTGCCCTTCTTTAGTTCAAAACAAATGTGTCACCTTCATAATCAGTTATTATCCAAATAAGACAGCAAAAATTAGACAAACCCAATCAACATTCACTCACACACCGGTTAATTTTAAAGGTAAAGACCAGTTATGGTCATGCGATTGCATTGTGAAAGAAACGTTGTGGAATCAATCAGAAAAGGTTGATCATCTAGCATATAAGTATTGGTGTGTACTGCAAGGTTCTGGAATCATCAAAATGATAAGAAATATGGCCCAGTCTTCGTAAAGTTACAAGCACTGTACACAGAAAGATGTATATGGGACTATACGCACACGTGCGTGACACATGCGTTTATCTCTCACAGACCATGTAGATAAACTAATTTACCAAATATATCAATTAGTACGCGGTTTCCTGGCATAATTTTTATCATCATGTATTAGTCAAAACATATTCTTTCACATGATTGGTAATAAAAGCTTCCATTTCATTTTTTGAAATTGGGGTATTTCCAATACTGGTCTTTACCTTTAAATCATTATGAAAACATACGAACTGTTCTTAGATCTATAGGGTTTTAATGCATTAACCAGAGCTGCCAACCTTGTGTGACCCAAACAAGGAACCACGGTGGCAAAAAAAAAAATTACACCCAACCTTCAAGAGTGTTTATGGATTTTTGATCAAAGCGCTAAAACCAATTTCTTCTATTTTTGTGAATTAATTTTTTCAGATTTGTGAGAAAGAAAAAAAAAATTAGAACATGTAAATATGGAAAAAAGAGGGAATATTACTCACTCCACGATCTTCACCATACATGCAACCTTCTCAGCAAGGTTTTCTGCTTTGGATGTAGCTGCAGAGAATGTAAGAGAAAAAGTATTTCATTTTTGAATGTCGGAATTGATTCTTTATAGTAAACTTTACTTGGAATCTGTTCATCGGTAAAGTATTATCGGTATTATCGTGATTCAAGTCCCCAGGGACTCGGATCCACGGACACTTTTTACTCTAAAAAAAACATTTCCAAAATTGTATCAGCGCGCGTTTAATGGATTATTACTTTATTTAGTCAAGCCAATTTATCTAGTAGGTCTATTAAAGTCATTCACTACTTAAATTAAAGCAAACTATAATTTAAATTTATTTAGTCAAGCATTGATTAGGCTGAATAAATGAATATTATATTTATTAATTTCATATTGCCTTTAACGATTATTGAAGACGAAATATAACTTTCATTAAATTTTGTTTTGAATGATATTACTGATTTATTTAGTCAAGCCAATTGAGCTAGTAGGCCTATTAAGAGAAACACTATAAAACTGTCTATATATTTCTTTGCGGTGCGAGTCCCCCTTGCATGTTAAGATCATCAAATTTCCCATAGGAGGGGACTTACACAGTGGTTGATCCAGCCGGCGGCAAGAGGGGGGTGGGGGGGGGGGGGGGGGGGGGGCTAATTCGTGAGAAAATATTTAGCGGTGACTCAACCAGCCGGTGAATAAGCCATTTAGAAAATATATATATATTTATTATTAGGTGATACGTACGAAGTCTACGTATCACCTATTGATTTCGTCAAGATTTTTATTTATTTATTTATTTATTCTTCCTCGAATTTGTTCGCAGGATATCTCAAGACTGAATAAAACCATTATCATGAAACTTGCCAAGATGATAGATCTTAGTCTAACTTAGAACTGCGTGACTTTTCAGAGAGTCAAAATAATTGTGACGTCATCCAGGCGCCACTTTGTGAAAATCAACTTATGACCATATCTTCATAACTGAAAAGTATTTCTCTTTCATAATTATCATGATTAAGATCAATATCCGTCCGGTCAATTTCAGGTCAATAAACGTGCGCAAATACGCACGTGCGCGTTCGTCCGCGCGTGTACGTGCGCGAAAAAAATTGAAATGCTCCAAATCATCTCAAATTTTTTTTTGCATACGTTTCAGGCCATATGGAGCATTTGATAAAAAGATCACGTACACGCGCATGCGCGCGCGTTTTCGCGCGTACTAGCATTTTGTAACATAGAATCGCCGATTTTTTTTCTGTCATCACATTATTTTGGTACATTTTTCCAAGCATTTTGATAACTTGTTCACCTTTTAAAAACGCAATGAGCGTCCGTCAAAGTTGACAGCACGCGCGGATCTGCGTTATCTTTATCCACAATACATGGGCAAAAACATGCCTATACAAAATGCATTGTAACTCTTCAGAATGGATGGGAACTCCCAATATATTTTCATACTTGGATAGATTATGAGTTGGAGATATGATTTCATGTCTCATTTGACCCTCAATTAACTCATGACGTCATCATAATGGCCTTGGAAGTCAAAATACAAAATTGCATATTATGACGTCATTATATTTATGGACAATTTAGTGTATTTCTCATAATATTGACTGATTTTCTTCCAAATTGCGGTATCTTGTAGCTGAGGCAATTGCCTACAAGATAAATACACACTGCTTTTTATTTCATTGATGTCATCAGAGTAAAAAAATTCAATTAAAGGCCACATGTCAGTATTTTCTCAATTTGCGTGTTATGCCTATGTACGGTGAATTTCGTTCACATCATGAGTCTACATGACATTGATCTTTGAGCACAATTTAGCTTATTTGTGCTCTATGTTCTTCCAAATTTTGAAACGGTGTAGCTAATAAAATTATCTACAAGAATGACGTACATCATTTATCATTTTTATGACATCATCATAGTGAAAAATTCAATTAAAGACGACAGGTCAGAATTTTCTTAGTTTCCGTGTTAGGCAACTTTTTCTGAAATCCTGATTCTACAAATCTCTATCAAATACCTGAAGGAGGCGCTATACCACTCTTAATCATGGTCACCAGGAAATTTCAGTATAAACTTTTACATAACATCATAATTTGTAATGATAACCTGTATCTTTTTGGATTAACACAGTCAAAATTATGTTCCTTTTTGTAGAAAAGAGGTAGAAACCTAACGTCTTATCTTTTTTGAATGTTCTGAAGGGTCCAGAATATGGAATGAGGTGGGAAACAATTTAAAGATGTTTCAGTTTCTTAATATGCAATGGATTGATGTGTTACTTGGTTTCATGTTCTGCCCCTCTCCCTTTTTTTGGTCCGTCTCTGCATCTATCTATATCTCTCTCTCTACTCTTTAATCCTCTCCCCATCTCTCTCTCTCTCTACTCTTTCACCCTCTGCCTCTCTCTCTCTCTCTCTCTTGCCTTGCCTCCCTCTTATTCTATTGCTCTGTCTCACTCTGCCCTACACAGTTGAAACTTGACTCATGGATAGACCATAAATGGGAGAAGTATTTTATAACGAAAGATGAAATCGTGAAAATGCGTTCTTCATTATGTTACACATGAGCATAATTACGTATCACCTAATTCGTCAGTGACGAATTCAAGTCTAGTTATTATTAATATTGCCAGTGGGCAGGGGGGGGGGGGAGGACCCGGACCCGTCAAACACTCTTGTACACGTCATGTGATTCCTGACTGAACTAAAGGTTTATAATTATAATTGCAGCATGATCTAAGTCCAGCATTTTGTGTGCCAATATCCTACCGTCACTGTCATTTACGTATGGCCGGCCGGCGTATCTTTTATTTACATGCTAGCGGGGAGGGGGGGGGGGGGGGATTTTTTTCGATTAATTCCAATGAAACCGCTCGCGAAGAGTCTAGCCTGGATCGGAGAGATCGCAAGTGCTATACACCAGTGTGAATTTACATCCAGGAGAAAGTTTGCTTAACTTTTTCTTGAAACACTTGAACGGTTATGGAAACTGTTTGTGTTTCTTATCTTCAAATATTAATATTATTCTGCATCAAATATATTACATTAAAATCTACTGTGGTATGTAAAGGCACAAACTTACGTTAATACATACACATATTTTTTTTTTAACCAAGAAGGTGCACCATGGTAATATATTAAAACAAACACATCAACATATTACCTAAACAACTCATCACCATAGCCATTGTAAAACCATTATATTAATGATACATGTAAAATAAAGATTGAAACAATTCTCGTCAATTGGCTGTATCCTGAGTGTGATTTATATAATGGATTTTGAGTAACATTTGGAAGAGTGTAACGAGGAATATTAAAGCAAGGGAGACTAGGAGATGAGGAAAGCAAGAAGTTCATAATTGAGAGATGACTCGCGAGATAGCCTTGCATTAATGAATCCTTTATAATTATAATGTTGTCTTAAGAGAAAGTAGACGATTGTTTTAAAATTGGAGATTAGTGCAAGTATTAGAAATATGGGAAATAGAATTAATGAGAAAGTTAGTTTTTATCGAGATCAATACATAAGGGGGGGCACCATCAAAATAGGGCACTTTCTGGAATAAGGTGCACCTACAAAGGGAACCATCAAAATGTAAATCTACCATATTTAGACATTGATAGACGTAGGTAATGCATGTCACACACAGAAAAATTAGAAGAAAAGAGAGAATAATGTTATTAAAAAAAGAATATAGAGGAAAAGGAGAGAGACAGAGAGAGGGAGAGAGAGAGAGAAAGAAAGAAAGAAAAAGGAAGAACATGAAACTTAACTTTACACTTAGACCTACAGATTACATTTCCGACTGAGTTGGCTCGACATGTGCTAAGAAGACTGCGGACGAAAGTACAACAATACGAAAAACAGAAGTTATATGAAATTGTCTTTTAGAGAGAAAGAGAGGTTATTTCTAAAATGAAATGAAAGGGGGTATGTGACTCTCAAGGAGAAAATTACAATTTCTATCGCTCATGACGATTATTTTGAATTTCTTAATATTTTTTAAAGTTCAAGAACTTCCTGGGGCTCTGCCCCATGCAAGACTCCCGGCAACAGCAAATTTTTCACACAATTTCTTGCTGTCTGCTGCCTCGAGATCACTGGAGCGAAGAAAGGTAACATAATTATAGCAAGAATCCCTATTCAGTGAAGGATTCATCTCTTTTATCATTAAAGACTCCCGGCAAAGGCTCTCCCCCTGCAAAATTGGAGAGAGTTTTATGTAGTTTAAGCTTCTAACAACTGCTCCCGTGGACCTTTTATTATTTACACAAAGGTAAAAGTGTATAGCAAGAATCCCTATTCAGTGAAGGATTCATCCTTTTTATGCAGATGCTTCTTCTACCATTCTTGACCAGAAGTGCGTTTCAAACACAATGATGTGGGCATCATCCCATTGAATGTTGTGTGCAGTGTTAAGGGTTTGTTTTGCTACTTGCTGCCTAATCTGAGGGCTCTGTTGTGCTCTTTAAAAAGAGGACACAATAGGGGCAGCACAATTTAAATGTCAAGGAATGTATCAGACTTTATTTCTAAAATGAAATGAAAGGGCTATTTGACTTTCAAGAGCGATAAAAACTCTAATCCATCCCTTGAAATTTGAATTGCACTGCCCCCATTCAGTGTGCTATTTTCAAAGAGCACCAAAAGGCCTCAGATTGAAGATCCCATCTCATAAAATTGTCTATAAGAGAGAAAGAGAGTTTATTTCGAGAGAAAAAACAAAATGAACGGGCTATTTGACAAGAGCCCTTTGATTTCATTTTAGAAATAACCTCTTTTTCTCTCCTGAAGACAATTTCTCTCTTGAAAAGGCTCTGCCAGGCCCCTCAAGCTCTGCCATGTTGTATGCGTACACGCCTGCATGTGCATCCTTTCCTACTATTCCCTTATCCATCGTTGCCGTCACTACCATTTGAGTAGGGCCGGCCCCCACTTCAATAACGGCTCCCAAGCCATCGAGAATGACCCCAGAATTAATAGATGACTATTCTGCCGTTCTTTGGAGGGGCCGGGCGCGGCCTTTTCAGAAGTGTTTCTACACTAACCTGTACATGCACTACGGCTTAACATAAACAAGCATGCTAAGATTTTTTTTAAATAAGCATAATTCCGACTCGCATAACCTAAAAATAAGAATACGGCAAGTCACCCCCCCCCCCTCAATGCAGCCGCCTTCACGCACCCCCTCCCCCCCCCCTCCCCTCGTCTTTTCCTTATTCGTCGTTACTGTCACTAAATTTTAGTGCCATTTCGTTGTCTTTCTTTCTCCCCGGCTCCTCTCTTCTTTTTCTTTCCTCTTTTTTTTTAAACTCTCTCTCGTTTCTTTTCTCTTTTCTTTTATCTTCTCCATCTTTTCCCTTTTTTCTTTTCTTCTTTTCTTCCGGCTCTTTTTTCCTTCTCAATTTTGTTTTGCGCCACCAATAGGGGGGGGGGGGGGGGCCGCGGCCGTTTCGGCCCACCCCTGGATCCGCCACTGCATTGATGTATGTAGAGAAACAGGATTAAGATCCCATGCAACGCTTCGAAATGTAAAAGAAGAATAAGAAAAATAAAGTTGAGATTCGACCTTTTAATATGTCTAGACGTTGCAAAATGCAATTCGTATTCGTATTTTATTCCATCTCAGAGTGATTATAGACGTTATTTTTTTAGGATAATACAGCTTATTAAAGCTGTCCGGGTTTTTGAAGATAATGCCTCAAAACAAATCGACCAAGCTGTTTATTTCTTAATTCATGGTCTGTTTCTACTGTTTATCTATTTTCATTGCCAACCCTCGAAAACGATTTATTATGCATTTCACAGAGAAAGTATGGTATAATCTACCTCTGGGCCAAATGTTGTGCTTTTAGAAGAATCTGCACCAAACAACACCTATTTAGCCTTAACAGCCCCCACTATAAGAGAAGGTGATAGAAGGAAGAAACAAAGAATAACATTACAAAAGGTGGTAAAAGGAAAAAAACAAAGAATAACATAAGGAAAGATAGAAAGAGGAAGTGATAGAATGATAAAAACAAAGAATAACATACGAGAAGGTGATAGAAGGAAGAAACAAAGAATAACAAAAAGGAAAGACAGAAAGAGAAAGTGATAGAATGATTAAACAGAGGATAACAAAAGAGAAGGTGATAGAAGGAAGAAACAAAGAATAACATAAGGAGAGACAGAAAGTGATAGAATGATAAAACAAAGAATAGCATAAGAGAAGGTTATAGAAGGAAGTATCAAAGATTAACATAACGAAAGATAGAAAGAGGAAGTGACAGAATGATACAAACAAAGAATAAAATAAGAGAAGGTGATACTGATAGAAGGAAGAAACAAAGAATAACATAATAAAAGGTGATTTCATTAAAATCCGTCAAACAATACTAAAGTTATGGATCGAAAACCAGATTTGCATATTTAATGAGCTATGACCTTAGACCTACATACTCGGAAATTGAACTTAGGCTGTGTTTTGATACCATATACCTTTGTATCAAATTTCATGAAAATCCGTCAAACATTACTTAAGTTATCGATCGGAAACCAGATGTGTATTTTTTCGCATATTTAATGAGATATGACCATCGACCTTTGACCTACGTACTCCAAACTCGAATTAGGCTGTACTTCGATATCATGTACCTTCCTATCAAATTTCATTAAAATCCCTCAAAAGCATTACTGAAGTTATCGATCGGAAACCAAATTTGTAACGGACGGACGCACGAAAGGTAGGAAGGACGGCAGCGTTACTATATCCCCTCCGACTTCGTCGGCGAGGATATAATTAATCTTTTAAACATCGGTAAGTTGACAAATTTGTATTTTAATGCTTTCTAGGTGTCATCACTTGTCACTCAATTACCGATTTTGAGTGAATTCAGTTGAGTTTGAAATGATGAGAATCAATAACCTTCAATAGTGTGAATATTTTCATGAGTTGAAAGATTAACATTCTATTTAACGAGGCGTCAGTCGAGTTGAATAGAATTAACGTTAATTATTCGGAGCAACCTTTACATTCTTTCTTTACTGAGCGATTCTGTTTTGGTGCTTTTTTGTACAGGCGCAGATCCACGGGCCGATTCTAACGGCCCACCCCCCCCTAGCCTCCCAAACCGGTAAAATAAAAAGGATAATAACGTTAATTTAACTTTAACAACCCCCCCCCCCTCCCCTGACCCGCCAGTGACATAAATGCGGCATCAAAATATTTGTGCTTCTCTGACCGTAATTGAATGCCTAAAACCCCTGAGCTTCCGGGGCTCCACCCCCTGAACCCACCCCCCCCCCCCCCACCAATTTACGCTCGCTACCCTCTACCTGATCGTAAATACTTTAGCCCCCCCCCCCCCCCCCCCCCCCCACTTTGATAATCAATGTTGGCACAAAAATTCCTACGGGAGCTGTTTCAGTGACATACCGTACCACACTATGACATAATAATCTTCTTCTCCCCTTGCAAACGAGAAAGAAAACAAGGTCATTAAAAGGGATTAAGCGACAAATAAAGATTGTGATTCAAATTGATGCGAATATTTGTTTGAATAAGCACTGCTATTCACCAGAATCTTCTTTGTAAAAGCAACTTTTACAAATGTCAGCCATGCTTACTGAGTTGAGACATTCCATTCAATTTAAAATACTCATTAAAGAATACACTTCTCCGAATGTGAAAGTGATCTTACAAGACAGTGGCAGAATTGGATGGCTGAGATTTTTAAAAGTCGTTTTTACAAAGAAGATTCTGGTGAAAAGCATTGCTTAATATTCAAAAAAATCCTTGCATCAATTTGAATCACAATGATCATTTTGTCCCATGATCCTTTTATTAAATAACCTTGTTTTCTTTTTTGTTTGCAGGGGAGAAGAAGCTATGTCACGTTAAGAAATCACAAAGATCAGTTGTATTATGGGTATATACATAATGATAACAGAACAAAATGTTGATTATCAGAATGTCATTTTGGAATACCTCTATACAAATACCCGATCTTACTGTGCCGATACCACATTGTATTTAGCCCGTACCAGTATTAGTATGAGCCAATATAAAGTTATTACTCTTTATTCAGTTCAGTATAATGCTTTTCCTCAAAAATAGTTTTGCTATTTTTTTAGGGTTGAGACGCTAAGAAATGGTTTCGAACGTACATTACACAAACCCTGAACCATTGCATAATGATGTTGGTTCTCTCTCTCTCTCTCTCTCTATTTATTGTAATCATGCATTATCATCTACATATAAAGCAGGAACACAAAACTTAGGGTTATTTGGGATAGGTGAAAGTGAGAGTTAAAAAAAAATATATTAACAAAATATTAGTAATCCTCCTCTTTAGCATCCCCCCGCTTTAATATTCACCGCTTTAATATATATCTTGCTCAAAACAGCGATTTAAACATCGTTTCCATAGTAACTCAGAGATTTACCAATTTCACGAACTGCACCCCTTCCCCCCCCCCCCCCCCGAGGGATAAGTTGGGCCAAGTGTTAAGAATATATCCATGCACTTATTTTTTTCTCTAGTCCCAAGGGATCACTTGGCACAACAGTTTGAAAATACCCTTACTCCACGCTTTGCATATCGTGCTGCGCATTAGCTGTGCAGCTTTTGAGCAGAAATTATAACTCTGCGTGAACCACTTTTTTTGTCCATCCTGACCAAAATGCTATATGAATATTGCACAGTTTTTGAGGGGCTGTATCTTTTGATAGAAACATCGGTGAGTCTTGAAATTTGAAAGGTATTATTCTGATTACATTTTTTATTCCAATATCTAACAAAAATGGTGAAAAACGATCCCAAATTGAAAATTGAAAAAATCGTTCAGACACCCTACTAGATCTAGAGGCCTATATCATTTATAGGCCTGGCTATATTACATTCCTATAGGCCTATAGGCCCCTATCGCGATCCTTTCAGTTTCATTTGATTTTGAATTACCAAAAACACAAACAAAACAACATTGCATTTGTTTTTCAATATACAAACCAGTACAAGTGCGACGTGGAATTGTTACGATGATAGATATAGAATCGGTGATCCATAATCCCGGCCGTTTCTCAGCAGGCTCGTCCGCCCCTTCCTTTACATAAAGGGCGTCTATCATGGCATTGATGAAGACGGGCACCTCTCTCTCGCCTATGTAGTCATTGACCATACCAATGACAAGCTTAGGAGGAAACACCACTCGTTCATCATCACAAGGTACAGCCTTGCCTGGTTTGTACGACAAGATTTCATTCCGTATGGCATCCATCTTTGAAGTTGAACAGATTCACGCGAGCAAATAACATACAGATTTGGGCACTAAACTAGTATTCTTTCCGTGAAGGACCGGAGACAAATTGTTAGAAAACATAAAGCACGTTGCATATATAAGCAACGACCGCTCCCAGCTCCTGGCTCTCAGCCAATCAGATGCCTTGGTTTCAGTAGCTTATAACAGTAGCTTAGTCCATGGGCCAGGCTAGTCCTTCCTCTGTACCGTTTTCGTGTAGCGCACCCAATCCACAGAACTCTTAAATATTTAAGAGTTCTGTGATCCAATCAGGTGATAAAAAACACCCTCAACGTTAAAAGTAGACCTAGCCATTCCTCTCAATCTGGACCTACTGATCTCTATTTCCGTAGAGATCAGTGTCTGGACCTCGTGTGGACGGAAATTTGGGGATTGCGCGATCAGTGGAGAGACCGCGCTGTGTGTGCGATCAATGCGTGTGATAGAAGAATAAAAACAAAGAACGGACTGAATCTGGACTAGGGCCCAGGCCAGGCCTGATATAGGTACCAACAGAGGTGGCAAAAACCTTTGTATTGCCATTTTGTTTGTTGGATATTTATATGTGTATACAATTATGATAACATTTCCGAATGTTCAGCTTAGTAAAAATATACATCATTTCGTTGGGGGAAAATCTAATAGCAATTACCTGACAAACTGTCTGAATGTGTAGACTAAGGCATTATGAGGTAGTGGGGATTCCCCCAAATACTGGCATGTGATTGGTTTAAAGTTCAGGAGCCATCAAATCGAACTTCATAGCAACCAACTTTGCCTGTTGTTGACTATGAACTAAGATGTATGGTAAAGAAAGAAGAAAAAATGGAAACAGTAATTGTGAAATTATAAGCCTACTGACAGTAATTTCAATTTTTTTTATTCAGTCCCGCAAAAACGAAATTTTGTGTGTTGTATGGGAGAGGGGTATTAGCATTAATTTATTAAGAACAGCATAATTCCTTTGAATTAAATGGTTATAGTCTAGTATAAATTATCTGGTTACTGAATAACCATATTTAATTGTATGGATGTTGTTTTGTAAATAATTTTCCATTATTTATCACAAACTAGTCTATGAAACTCAAACTAGACCTGAAGAAAATCAAGTGACACTTTCAAAAGTTTTTCTGAATCAAGCAAAAATGTTGTTTTACAAAGATGATCTCCGTTTTAAAGGGAAGGGCACTGTTTTGCAGGGCCAAGGTCAAAGGTTATGAGACATTAAACTTATCTCAAACTATTATATCTTGAAAGCTTTGTTACGCGATATTGAGGTTGTAATTCTTCGCTGGGCTACTTAAAGGTCCTAGTTACTTTTTTTTGAGAATGCAAAAGTTTCCTTCTGAGGGTCAAATTGTACATCAGTTTTATTGCACTTCGCGGTATGACCATACAAACAAGGAGTTAATCTCTGAAAAATTGCAGTGAAATGGTCAACAAATAAAAGGGACCATTTTGAAACGTCTGCTAATCAGGAGTGGACTTGGTAATAAGGAGGGGGAGGGGGTGATGATATATTTCCTTTGATAAAATTTAAAATGTCAACAGTAATTCTGGAGTGATGTCAACAAATGGCAAATTAATAATGATGAGACTATGAAGTAGTCTATGGACCATGAAACAATTTCATTTTTTAATTTACAGAACACATTAAAGATAAAGACCAGTCCTTTTTTTTTTCATAGGTTTTTATTTATTTCTCTCATTAAGAAATTGTACATAATTTAGAACACTGTATACAAAATAACAAAATAATCTTTACATTGGTCTAAATAAATTGCAAGTGAACTTTCACATTTCGATACAAGGCTACAAACAAAGTAACACATTTACAGATGAGGTTATGACTTTAACTAAATAAAAATAAAAAGGGCTAGAGAACACCTACTACCCCTGCCCCACAAAATATTTAAACACCTAACAAGTACAACAGTATACAAAACACACACCTATAGAACGAACAAACAAAAGAAAAAGAAAGAAAAAGAAGAAGAAAAAAAAAGCAAGGGTAGCCAGAAGAGAGGAGGGACTAGAAGTTGTATATTGAGAAAAATTAAAAACAGAAAACATTTATTCTCAACTTTCCAAGGCTTCCCATTTCCTTAAATGAATTGAAAGGGTATCTCTTTCCAATGGAAGTTTTTTTCTCTTCATTTCTATTTTCCAATAATCTATATTCTATTTCTTTTGCTTTTGGGGGGTTTCCCTTCTCTCTACTGTGGAAAATTGTAAATTTAATCAAAATCAAAATGTGGTTCAATAATTGAACCAATTGAATGTGGTTCAATAATTGCTCTGTCATGCGATTGCACTGTGAAAGAAACGTTGTGGAATCGATTAGAAAAGGTTGATCATCTACTCATCTAGCATATGAGTATTGGTGTGTTACTGTCAGTTATGACTTAAGGACGTAGGTCCCCTAGTTAATTAGCATAGTAGCACACACATGCTTTAGCAGTCACGCAAAACAAACACTCCCCAATTGTCATTCAATAAAATCTGAGAATGTATACTATTATCGAGATCTATTAGGAATAAATCATTGTCAACATCATTCAATAAATTGGGTTAAAAATAATTATTCCACCATTATGACCAACAGTGTAGATATAATAATTTACCAAATATATCAATTAGTTGGCGGTTTCTCGGCAAAATTTGTATCATCACGTATTAGTCAAAACATATTCTTTCACATGATTGGTAATAAGAGCTTCCATTTCATTTTTTGAGAGGGGGGCGTTTCCAAAACTGATCTTTACCTTTAAGCTGTATTTTGATATCATTGCAGGTCTGGATGCTGGCAGGTCCGAACTAAAAATTAAGGAGGCTGTGACGTCAATGCTGTGGCGCTCTATAGGTGACAGGAAAGTTGGAGCTGGAGGACTAAAATTTTCTTTCCACGGTTTTTTGACTGCAGGTGTAAATTTGAGAGAGATTTTCGAAGTAAGGATGAAAATACATGTAGTAGATGTTGTTTTCCTCCTTCTTGTCAATCCAGGGGGGTGTTTCACAAAGATCATAAGTTGAACTTAAACATTATGGAGAGCCATTTGTAGCCTTAAAATAAAATATATTCAAAAGCGAAAATTCAACTATTTTAAACTTTTCATAAATTCCACATCGAGAACATGAAATCTCCCATGATAGTAAAAATTATGAATGATTTGAATCAACAATTTATGCCTTTTAAAATATCTTTTACAAAATATTTGTAAAGATGCTAACGGCTTTCCATGATTTTTAAGTCCAACTTAGAGATAAGTTCAACTTAGGATCTTTGTGAAACACCCCCAGGATAAAACAAAGAGAGGTGTTGTTGCAGACAAAAGAAGAGTCGGCGACCTGTGATTGTGTGTGAGCTTTTTACCACAAATCACCAGTATCCAATTGACAAATAAGCTGACATTATCAAAGTCGTGGTGGCAACTTTTGGTAGGCTTAAACTTCCAAATCACATGGAAAGGACAGTTGTGGGTAACTCGAAGATGTACTTGATAGATTATATCGGTTACATAATTTTAACCAGTCAATGTAAAAGTCTCAAAAACATAATTTATACTGTTTTTTCTGGCTTTAAGAATGTGAATACATTTTGGGATAAGTCAAATTGGACTATACTTAAATTCAATCACACCTTCCTTTCAGGGAGTGTTAAATAAAAATAGGAAAGGGAGGATGTGACAAAATAGTTTCTGAGACTTTGTGCAAACAGCATGTAAAATTTCTGCCCAAAGAGGGCGTTTTTATAAACAGACACAAGTTTTCTGGCATTCATGTAGTACCTTTGACTCATGTCTCATTTTGTTCGTAATATTCTTAGGACCGTTTTGATACAATAACATACAAATGAATCTGTGTTGGTTCTAACATAGCATACTATACAATTAAGTTTCATGGCATCTAATGTACTCATCACTAAGTTCTATCTTTCTCAATCCTAAGAAACAGCTTGGTAATATGCAGTGGCAGACTACTTTTATGGTCATTATGCTCTTATTTTCCCGCAAATTTATGCAAATTAGCTGTGATGTCCTATGTTAATGTCCAAAATAATACTTTAGCTGTGTTCCCTGTGCCTAGAAACCTGGGTATAGCCATCAAAATGAAGTTTTAACACCTCTCCAACCCCAAGATATAGGCATCTTTGTAACTCTAATTGATGTTGCCATGGTAACAATGGGAAGGTATAAGCCAAAATCCTTGAAAACACGCAAAAGCGTGTGGTTTTTTTTTTGTGTGTGTGGGGGGGGGGGGGGGACGAAATTAACCCCCCAACCCCCCCCCCCCCCCCCCCAAAAAAAAAAAAAAAAAAAAAAAAAAAAAAAAAAAATTGGCAGTAAATGAGTTTTAAAAAGAATTGTATTTTTTAACCAAAAAGAAAATGAAATATACTAAAACCTGAATTGAATCACATAAAAATTATATTCCATTCAAAGAAAAGGAAAGCAAACACGAATTACATTTCCTAAAAATGTCGCATGCCCCTATAGTTATCGCATGTCGTGGAAATATTGTGAGAGGATGGGAAGGCTAAGCCCCCCCCCCCCCTCCCCGTCATAAACTGCTTCCGGTGCGCCTGCTTGCCAGTGCAATATACAAAACGTAAGCTCTGAGGTTTTAGGCATTTAATTACGGCCAGATGAGCACAGGCGCGGATCCACGGGCCGATTTTACCGGCCCGGCCCCCTAGCCCCCCGAAACGGTACAAAAATAGGATAGTAACGTACATTTTACCTTTTTTGAAACAAAAAACAAAAGCGGGTCCCCTGACCCCCCCCCCCCCAAAAAAAGAAGAATATATAAAAAAAAAAAAATTAGCCCCCCCTCCCCCCCCCCGCTTATATTTTCCAACAAAAACTGGACCCCCCCCCCCAAAAAAAAAGTGCTTCCCCCCTCTCTTATTCAACGGCCGGCTTTAAAAAAAATGTGCTCTTACCCGCCTCCCTCCCCTCCCCCCGCTTATTCGCCGTTCGTTTGTTGGCTGATTCGCTGCTAAATATTTTCTCAAGATTTGACCCCCCCCCCCCCCCTCTTGCAGCCTGCTGGATCCGCCCCTGGATGAGCATATTTTGATTCCTCATTTGTGACATTGGCAGGTCACCTATTTTTTTCTCTCTCTTTTTTTCCTTTTCTCTCTAACGTACTTTCTTAAAAAGTGAGGGGGGCTCAAGCCCCTGAGCCCAGCCATTCCGCAGGCCCCTTTTTTCGCGCGACTGTAAATTTGGGTATTTCTAATTTTCCAACAAACGCATAAAAAGGTATGACTTACAAAAAAAATTGAGAAAAAACACCTGAAATCATGTCATTTCAGCAACATTTTTGTAAAGCACTGGTATCGAATAAAAAAATGACCCCCCCCCCCCATCAGTACACCAGCATTCAAGGGCTCATGTTTTCTCACCCCTATAACAAAAAACACACACGCTTTCCCATCCTCTCACAATATTTCCACGATATGCGCATATAGCTATTATCAAAACCTCCATTGATATAGGTGGCATGCGGAATGTTTAGGAAATCTAATTCCTTTTCTTTGAATGGAATTTTATATGTGATTTATTTCAGGGTTTTATTATCGTTATGTTCTTTTGGGTTAAAAATACAAACCGTCTTACTCCTTTACTCTTTTCCTCCTTTTTTTGGAGGGGGGGGGGGGGCGTTTTTGTTTTTTTTTTGTTTTTGTTTTGTTTTTTTTTTTTTTGGGGGGGGGGGGGCAAAAATGCCTTTTGCCCCCCCCCCACACTTATTTGTTTGTGTACCACGGGCAACGGAACCCAGGGTTTGGTCTTACATAGTGCAATACTTAAGCTCCATGATGAAGGAGGTCAAAAACGGTGGGTGGGGGGGGGGGGGAATTTAATATTGTGTCCCCACCCTTGGGAATTGGGAAGGGGAGGGGGGTTCGTACCCCTGTCCATGCCCTTATTTGTCGGTTAGGGCCTAATTTTGTTTAATCTAAAACAATGAGACCCACACAAAAAGTTTCGGCATGTGACACAGTGACAGTAATGAACAGTTAGTTCGGGTAAAAATGGTCATCAGTCTGTTAATGTCACGCAATGCCTTCAAAGTTGATAACGTAATTTGGGGATTATTGTATGTACAATGCGGCCGCTCATTTGCCGGTTTGAGCCCTTATTTCAACCTAACACAATAAAGCACATACAGGGACGGCCGAGCGACTTCCAAAGTGGGGGGGGGGGGGGGGGGGGGGGGGGGGGGGGGCACCAACAAAAAAGGGCACTTTCTGGAAAAAAGGGCACCTACAGTGGGAAACCTCAAAGTGAAAATATACAATTTTTTAGACATTGGTATATACCCCTACATTGTGATTACATTATCAGGGATAATTTCAATATTTGTTTCTCTTCATACATCATACAAGATATTGCTTAAGCATCATACCAGGGCATGTGAGTTAAAGTCTCACCTCCCTGATCATACTTTACAGTTGGGTGTGATGTCTGAATATGCGTTTACGAGCGAGGGAAGCGAGCGATACAAATTTTAAAGATCTGTGAGGTCGCAGTGCCAAAAATTACATCTTATAAAGAGGAAAAAGCCAATCGTGATGGGGTTATAAGCACATTCTCATAACGGAAGACCGAAAAGACCTTTGATAAGTAATATAATTAATCGTTAAATGCGAGCGAGCGCAGCGAGCGAACTTTGGGGAAAATTGCTCTTAGTCGCTTTAAATGAGGGGCACGTTTAATGATTAGATGAAAAGGGGACAATTATCGAAAGGGATAAGACACTTATTAGAAAAGAAAAGAAGCACGTGTCAAAGTACAAAGGATAATTATAAGAGGTGAAAATGAGGCATTTTTTTCACCTGAAAAGAGGCACTCACCAGTGATGAAAAAGAGGCGTTTACGAAAATGGGAAATAGGCATTTGTTGACAGAAAAGGGGCACCGACCATATTTTGATGCGGCATTTATAAGAGGTGAAAAGGGGATAGGTCCCTTATTAGAAAGGAAAAGGGGCACGTATCATTATTAAAAGGGGAATTATCAAAGGTGAAAGGGGAACTGACCAGATATGAAAAGGGGCACTTATAATAAAGGAAAACGTGCATTAGTTGAATGAAAAGGGGGCACCGTTCAGA